GAATTTAGAGCCTTGTTTTTGATGTTTTTTGTTTGTTGACATGGAGAAAATCCAAGGGTGAATTGCAAAAATAACCATAAAATAATAATAATTAGAAAATAAGGAAAACTAGTGTATGTGGCAACATATTAACCCTTAGATTTAGGTTAAATGGTTAGAGATTCAATTATAATTTGTTTTATGGCTATTACATGCAATTTTCCAAAATCCAACACCAAATTCAAGTATAATTAATATTACCAACAAAAATATGTGAAACCGCTTTAGCTCTTGCCATTATAGAACAAAAAAAATTATGAACTTGCAATTATAGAACAAGTAGAAAAATCTCAACAAAAAGAAACAATACAACTAAATTAATAAAAATTGGAAATATGTAGACGTTTTTTTCCTATTAATATGGTGTTTAGAGCCCTATATAAAGGTTTAGAAGTGTTTGGAGAAAAATAATGAAATTCAATCGATTAGTTGAAACGTTGAAACAAAGTGGAGTCAATGTATGAAATTCAATAGATTATTTGAAAGGTTGAAACAAAGTGGAGTCAATGTAAGAGTGTTTAGCATAAAAAAATATATTGTTATATATGTTTGAAGTTTTAAACTCCGTCAAAGAAAAAAACTTGACCAAATTTAAGTTGGAAAATTGGTAAGAATATTCTATTCACTGCATAATATCTCATTATATGCATTATAAATTATTTATATTTGTTTAATTAATTTGTTGTTGATCTTACACACTAAAATTTTAGGAATTAGATTGTGAAGATAATAATCAATACCAACAGTAAAAAAGTCGGGAGTAGTGGTTGAAGGATCAACAATCACCTTTTATGAATGTAAGATTTTTAGTTAACTAATTTATAGTGGTCAGGTAATTTAATGGTTCGTCATAAAAATATTACAGACATTATGTGTAATATATCACATTAATGGTATATATTTATCAATCATAGATTCATACATCATGTTTGATAAAATTATTTATGAGATTATTAACATGGAATTTTCTACTTAACTTTAGAGTACTGGAATTGTTTTACGATTTTATCACATAATTATTATATATTCATAATGGTAAAAATATCATGTTTCTTGGTTATTAAAAATATGAATTGGATTCCACT